ACGCGCACACCCATACACACATACAAACACACAACACACACACATAAACACACACACACACACCCAAACACACACCACCACCATCACCATCACCACCTCCACCATCCAGTCATCCAGTTTGGTCTCAAGTTCATGTGGCCAGCACCATGATGAATGTTTCAGTCGTGAATTTGTTTCTGAACTACTCTCTCATCACCACCGAAATATCACTATGACATATGGACAGGGTATAGACAACCCCAAATATATTCTCTTAAACAATCCAAATTCTTCTGAACACCCAGAATGCTTTTATAAAACACAGAAAAACACTCAGGTAGTTGCCAAAACTTTGAAGTATAACAGAAAATTGAAGCTCTTTCTGCCGGTCTTGTCATTGTCTTGTTTGATTTTCGTGCCAAGTCCGAATTGGAAGCAATATTCTGGAAACGCCATCTGGACGCCAATTTTGGAAGAGGTATCTCAGCTCTGATCTGAAGAAAAAAAACCACACGAACATAAGCAAAATATTGGTCGAGTCTGAGAACATTAAAATGTTGCTTTGGGAACTTAACAAATAAGCTTAATTTTTTTTAATGTGTAGGGTATTCAGGTAGCCCCACCCAGCTTAATGGAAAAGAAAATAGGAAATTGTAAATTAATTTCTCCGTTTAGATGTCAAAAAGGTTGATTTTTAAGATACACTGAACAAGAAGGTCAATTATTACGTTAAGCATCCATGAAACACATAAAAAAACAACAGAAAATGTAATAAATAACAGTGCATTTAATGATAATAATTTATGTTTGCATATTCATATCTTTAATCAATTAACTAAAATTAAAACCTCCACGAAATGCACTCTAGACGCGTGCGTTTTTCTCTTGAATACTTGAACAGGGTTCCCAGATACATGTACAAACAGACCTACAAAAGCCCCAGGGCACAGATGAAAAGCCCTGTAAAATACCAAGCCCAGGTACCGGTAGGGCAAGACATGCACCAGGAATCTCATGCAAACCAGGCATGCCGAACTGACCACAGGAATGACCAGTCCTCGTCCAGGACGGTGGAAAAGCGTGTCGGGGCACAGAAGTGGAAGTCTTGTCTGGCAGATACTCTGCATGTTTGGTCATACACTTCAAGGGGGGGGGGGAGGGTTTCAGGGATACATTGAGGGTGCGGATACTTACTCACAAGTACACGGTCACATGGGGGTGGAGAGAGGGGACGAAAGGGAGGGAGAGAGAGAGAGAGAGAGAGAGAGAGAGAGAGAGAGAGAGAGAGAGAGAGAGAGAGAGAGAGAGAGAGGCGCTTCAATCCCATCATTGTCATTATGCAAATATTATCTCTCATTGCTGAAATTGTAAATAAGCACGAAATATGGCATGAGTAAATTATGGGACATCTTTGAAAAGCCAGCTCTGTTCTCTTCATGCCGCAGTCAGCCCATCAAGAGACTCACCTCCGCAAAGATTGTCCGATTCCGCTCGTTAAGGATCGTGATAAGAAGGTGATAGGGTTGTTTCGAATATTCAATTTCCGAAGCTTCTTCAAAGTTGAAATTGATGTAGGTATTGACTTTATCTGAGTATCTTCAAGATTGAGTTCCAGCAGGGAATCTTCCATTCCCAAAAAGGCGTTGGGGTCAAAGTTCACTATGGGATTGTGGCTAAGGTCAATGACAGTTGCTTTGTAGTTCTGTTTTGAATGAAAATGAAATAAAATTCACAGAATGCGAATTATGAAAGGAATTAAGAAAGAGACAGAAGAGTAAAAATAAAGAGAGATTGTCAAAAAAAAAAGAAATATAAAAATGAAAATGACAAAGAACGCATAATTATTCATAGGTTCCGCAAAATCGAGAAATATCTTGTCAAATAATCTGGTGACAAACTAACATGAAGAAGGTATCAGCTATTGTTCATTTCTCAACATTGCTATATTTTCTAGCTCTTTTCAATGGAAGTTAATTAATAACATACATTGCATTAAGCTTACACTTTGAAAAAAGAAAAAAAAATAGTAACTCAGTAAAAGCAACCTTTCAATAGATGATAGAGATCAATAACTAGAATTGACTTTCTTTGCCTCTTTTCGTCCCGTTGTCATGAGGTATTGTAGCAACTTTGTCCCTTTGTTTCTGCTTCTGGGGCGGCTGTTGTCATGACGGCGTTTTCGAAGATTATACGATAATTCAGTTGTCGTTGTTGTAGACTATGTATAATATATTCTTTCGATCTTCTTTAACTTCAAATCAATCTAAAATCCTCTCGCAAGTCTTATTTTCATTTTTATGCAAGTGTTTTACGCCCCTGTAGACGCATTGTCTTTCCTTCTCAGTAACCGCCCTCCAATTAATGAAATTGTTGTTTAGGGGACTCGTGTACAGAATTGCTGTTTATTTTAGAGCTATAATAATATTAAAATAAATATTTATTAAACCCAATAAGGAGGTGGTGCTAACTCTTAGTTAATAAGTTTATCTTACCTGAAAGGAGTTGCTGGAAACAGCTGTAATTCCATTGCCGTTGAGGTATAGGGCGTAAAAAATGTGTGTGCTGGGAGACGGAGAAGGGATGGAGGTGAGACCGCGTTGCTCACAGTGTATGCTGACGTCACACTGACAGGGGTAAGGGACGGGACAGTCGGGGGTCAGGAGCAGGGCGTTGGACACAGCAAGGACTGATGCCACCACGCACAGGAAGGTAACGATAAGTCTTGCCATGCTGGGGTAGAAACAAGTTTGTAAGAATGAGAATATTAAGCATGTATGTGTCTGGTAAAGGTAAGCCTGAACTCTTGTCTTCGGAATTTTTACTTGACCTGCTGTACTTTTCACCGTCTCTCTCTCTCT